AGTTATTTTTATATTATCTATTTTATTTCTTATGATTAGAATTTTTTGTATTTATTGGGCCAGTCCCGAATTCGCTGCAATATTGATTATACTTCGATCTTAGCTCAGAGAGCGAGAAGCGATACCGTTGAGACATTTGTCTCTCCTTATATATGATTCTGTGCCGAATTTTACTTACGAGAAAATACACCTCGTAGCGGCAAATGAAGAAAATACAGAAAGCATTCGTTTTGATCATGAAGTAAGAGTAGGGAGACTTTAAAGATAGACTAGAGAGAAAAAGTTTGTCACATAAAATGTTTCGGACACTGCCAAGTTTGTCAAGATAAAGGCCATCCACACGTATAAAAATTTTTAATCGTAACCGTAAAGTCGTAAGCATATTTGATTAATCACAATCGAACGTTCTAAAATGTAAGATCGCAATTTTTATCGTGATATACGCATCAACGCTGATGGGTTCGCTCAGCTGCTCAGGGATAGAAACGAAAATATAGAGAAAGAGACAAACATAGAGACAAACACACGAAGCAGGCTCATTGACGAAAATAACGAGAGCATAATAATACTTGAAGTTTCATAAATATCGCTTTATAGCATCGCATTATCATAATCTTTTCTCGTCAAGCAAATAATTAACACAACGCTATATAAATTATTAACAATATAATATAATATAATATAATGTAATATGTATGCGCCGGATTATAAAGGTACGATTTTATGCTGACGCTCGACGCTCTATTTAACGTCAAAACAGATCATATGATCAAAATTGATGCTTGGTATTCGTCAATTTTGATCATATGATCTGTTTTGACACTAAAATGAGCGTCGAGCGTCAGTATGAAAAGCTTAATACGAATAAAAGTCTTAAATAATCATTGTAAGCTGCACGCACAGAAAAAGAAACAGAAACTGCTGAGGTTTAACGATTAAATGTATTTACGTAAACAATGGCAGGATAAAACAAGCTCTCCAAAAGAAATCAGGCGATCGAACGCGAGATGAAATGTAATGATTCGACTGGGAGACACTGACGTGCACGGAATTGGTTATATAACATTGTCGAATAAAGTTTGAATAACCGGGTAAAGACTACAATTAATCATTTTCTCCATCTCCGCATCCGGCACAGATCCTAATCATTCCCAATTAATTTTAACCGAACGACGTGAAACTAAAGTATATTTTTCCGATCGTGAACGCATCTCGGGTTAAGACCGAAATACGCAAGGCGGAAATACATTCGGCGCACGAAACGAACAAATCTGAAAGAAATTCCATGACGCATTAAGCCCGCATCGCGGCAAGAGTCTCTATTAAGGCAGTACCTCTTTCATTTGCCCTCAGATTATGTTTGGATACGGACGAAGAAATGC